CGGCTGAGGTGGTTTGGACACGTTCTTCGTCGCCAACCTCAAAAGCTCAGTGTTACTACCCTCGACCCGAAAACATCACCTAATTGGAAGCGTCAAATTGGGGGTCAGCTCAAAACCTAGCTCGGCTAAGTCCGTCAAGACATGAACGTGCTTTTTGGACCTTCGGTATTCGGTCTCAGGTCACGGATCGTCGCGCCTGGAGAAGCACCGCACGGTACATCATTGAGGCCGGCTAGATCAGTCATGATCGTAGCCGCAACAAGTACAAGTAAGTTGTATTGCAACAGCAGAGAAGCCTTATAGCAAATTTTGGTTACTGACGGATCCCCAATCTGATCAAAGACTACTATAGCACAACACCAGCTAAAGTAAGAGTCAGATCCTTTCCCAATGACTTTTGGAGTTCATCAAGGAAGCTCTCTTTCCCCAGTTCTCTTCACCCTCTCGATCGGCCGGGTAGAGGCATCAATAAATTTTGCCTTAGAGTGGATGCGACATGAGTCCTGAAATCAGAATACCTGACCTGGAATATGCCAGTGACATTGCCACACTTGGTAATACGCCCCAGTTACCACAACCAACGCTAGACCGAATCACCAACTTCACTGCCACTGTTAGTCCTACAACAAGACGAAATCCCTGACTACGTATTTTGGCACAGTACAACCACTGTTTATCAGTGTTCAACCTATCAAAGAAGTTAGCTGGTTTCGCTATTTGGACAGGCCAGGGAGGAAATTTGGGACCGAATCGCGCAGACTCTAAGTGCATTTAGGCTGCTAACCAGAACACTGTGGTCACGCTCATGAATCACCTTACGTACTAAACTGTTGATGTACAGCGCATCCACCAGACCGGTGTTAGCATATGCTTTGGAGACATGGCCAGCCAGTAAGACAGAAATTCTATCGCTTGAAGTCTTCGACGCATCTTAAGAGTCTCCTAGCAGGATCGACTTTTCAATGGTGAAGTATATAGCAGGTGTTTGCAACTACCAAGTCCAGTGTCACATCTAGCATCACCGATTGCAATGGTTTGGCCATGTCGTGCGCAAGCTATCGACGGATCGTGAATGCCTCTCGTAGTGCAAACTGTAGGTACCGACATGGCGGTCAACTGAAGACGTGGCTGAACACTGTCAAGCCGGACGTCGAACGCATGGGCCTCGTAATCGTTTGCGGCTTGAGACAATGGAACAAGCACTGCGTTGACATTTGCGAGGAACTCGCTTCCGATCGCCGCCAACGGGCCGCCGCTATCCGTGACATCCATGAAGCTGATCCGTTCAACTATAGGAAAAAATCGGATCAAATCAAAAATCAACTAAGTAAAAGTATGTTTCTGATGATCGATCAATCTCATTTTTCACCCATAGATATATCTCTCATTCGAACATTAACGCCCATTCGTGCGTATGCGAATTATAAGAAGTCCACTGAAACCAAAGGTATCATTCTCGTTTTTAAGAGCAAGGACAGAAGCCGAAATATCTATAGGGAATCTACGATTTAAAACCTATCTTATGTTGAAGCGACGGGGAAAATGAAACACTGGTAAAAAAAAATACAGCCACGAGTTATGTAAAAAAATTTTTTGCGGGTAAATCGTAAAACGACTCACTCACGACCTAACTAGTTAAGTCCAGTAACGCGTCAGTGCTGTTGGAGATGGTTACTATTTTATTTCAACACAATAAAAACTGTGCCATTAGAAGTGAATATGCAAGTTCCAGGAAGCAGTTCAGAAAAAGATGCGACTACTAGAACAATTTTTTTTATTTTCCTGACGTTTCGGATTCCGTCGGGAATCCTTAATTATAGGTAATTATAGGATAGTCAGAGTCATGCGCAAATAGGGGTGATATATGCACACACTGCACGGTACTTATAGTTCGTAGCGGTCATCCGCGTGCGTACTATAATTATCCATCCCTGTAGCCACCGGTAAACGGCTCCAGCCATTTCCTGCCGTGACAGTAGGGCTTTCAGTCTCATGATGGTTGCTTCCAGCCCGTGCGTAACTCCAAGTGGGGTGAGTAGACGGCTGACCACTTCCGCTGTCTCTGTCCTAGCGATCGAGTCGTCTTATTCTGAACTCGCTGTCTTTTGTTCGGTGTACATCTCATGCGCAAGCCATGGACGTACCTCTGCAGAATGCTCGTGAATGCCTCTCATAGTTAAAACTGGAGATACCGACATGGCAAAGACGTAGCTCAACACTGTCAAGCCATACGTCGAACTGCCTCGTAACCGTTTACGGCTTGCGACACTGGAGCACGCACTGAGAGGAGCTCGCTTCCGACCGCCGCTATTTGTTAAGCCCATTCATCCAACCACAGGGGGTAAGCGAATTAAGTACACTGCTTCCTGGCTTGTACAATGGAAGTTTTGAGCCTTTATCTAGCCCTGTTTGATGAGAAATTGCACTTGAAACAGCGGAAGTTTCCCAACCAGTACTTGTTACGACTGTGATCGTGCCTGATCTAGCCGGTCTCAATGATGTCGCGGACGGTACCTCTCCATGCGTGACTATTGGCGGCAGCGGATCTGGAAAGCTCCACCCAGTCTCTCCACCAGCGACTGGGACCGAAGATAGAAGGTCCAAGAAATACTTCCATGTCTTGACGGACGCTGTCGAAACAAGCCTTCAGTTACCCTCCTTTTCGACGCCTCCAGGTGGGCTGCGGCTCCGGATAGAGGGCAGCAAAGCAAAGCTCGTGAGGCGGACGACGGAGAACGTGACCAAACGACCTCAGTCGCCTTTCTTGGATGACCTGAGATATCCTCGCGATACGGTCGCAGCGGGTGCGGTCTGT